TGAATGCATCTGTTATTCAGAAGTCTATGCATTAAATATAATAGCATAGTGGATATGCAATTAATGAAAATCAATTAACACAAATTTGAAGAGATTTATAAATTTGTCTGCAATTCGAAAAGTATCCAATCAGAGAGAAGTTTCAATGTATACATACATTTTAATTAAATACTTTGATATATTGACAGTTCCAAAGAAAAATCGTAAGAGGGATAGTAGGGTCTCAACTGGAATTCTCCACATAAGAACAAACAAGGAAGTCAACTCAATATTTGGTAATCTACCTACCCACCAGTCCGCTAGAGTTCAGCTTATGAAATGGTTTAGACATATACTAAGAATAGAAGTGAAGACACCAATGGCAAGACGTATCGATAATGTAAAAGAGGGTGTAAGAAAAAGCTACGAGCAGAACGCTATGGTGGTTGGTCTGGACAGGCTTTACCAATCATCCAGTTCATATAAACTGCTGGCTAATAAACATTTAAGAGGGAAAATAAAATCTTAAGGGAATGAAAAATAAATATCTTTAATTATTTATAGAAAACGAAGACTATATTTATAAACAACTGAAAACTAGTTTGTTTAATCAGTTAAAAATTTGTCCATTTTATTAAAATTAATTGAAGATGCTAATTTTAAACTTTAGTAATAACTAACTGGGTAATTTTAATATTTTAAATTGCTCTTAATATGATTTCATCAATCTAATGTAAATACTGAAATTCAATAATTAATGAGTTTATCATAAACAAAATAAGGACATTATGAATGACAAAGAATGTTTAGAACATTGAGACTAGCAAAATAATGAGGCTTATAATCATAAGTAAGATGTCAGATGAAACTGCATAATGAAGCAGTGAATTCAGCCAAATGCAACAGTTGACAGACTAACTCTACTAGAGAGTCACTGTGCTAAGATCAAATATGAAACTAAGCTCTGATAAAAGAGGAGGATTGATAGGTCCCTTGATTACCCATTATTAATAAAGTTGTTACCCATTCTAGAGAGTTTTTTAGGATATCGGATATATTCATGTAATCAATCAGAAACTCACTATAAATTGCAACATTGGAACTTGAAACGTTATGTCACTTCGTCATCCTGGAGCACTAACAGAACTGAAAAATTAATACAAATTCAACAACTTAATATGCCCTAACTAATATCTAGGAGAAAGAATATGGAAATAAAAGATCTATTTTGTAGTATAAGCCAAAACAGACTTAAGTTTGGGAAAATGCAAGCTAATATAGACTTCACTGAGTAGAGTTGCAGCCTAGACAGATTACGTCCTGGATTCCAGCAGGATAAAACTAATAATGTAAGATCAGTCAGAGGATCGGACATGAAGTCTGATAATTTCCTGGTAGTTGCTAAGATCAAAAGAATTAAATCTAAAGTCGATACTAAATAGAGAAAATTAAAGGAAGCAGGTGACATTGTCTAGAGAAATGCTGATAGATATACTAGGAACATACTTCCTATAAGATAAAGAGTGGTGGGCAAGAAATGGAAAGATTTAAACCCGGTGACAACTGAAGTAGTAAAGGAAATATCTAAGATGGAGTAAAATTAAATTACATATGGTTTGACCTCGAGTGTGAAGAGGCAATCAAAGCACAAAAGGGACAAAAGCTTCAAATTATTACAGAATGATTAATTTTCTTATAATAATTTTAATTTCTTTCTAAATTTGTGAGTAAAACGTGAAAAAAATAAATAAATAAATACACTAATTTTATTTTTTATTTTATTCCCTCGTTTCAAATAAAATAGTGGAGGGGAGTGCTGAGTTCGTTAGATCATTTCCCTTACAATGGATGAAATAAATGAAGAAAAAGTTAGTATGTTGACTGGGTAAAGTTTGGACACTTCACTAGCGCCAACTGGCTCCTTATTTTAAGGTGTGGATCAAACTAGATTTGTATGATTAATATCACGATTTTTTAATTACATTTTTGGATATCTGGATAATTGGATTTGGATGATTTGACAAGATTAGTAATGTTTAAGGCACTCTTCTGCTAAATAATGGTAAAACTAAACAGCTAAATCAGTAATTTAAGAGAAAAATAAAATTTCAACTTGTATATACTTCTATTAGTTAAAATTCAGTCAACAATATCTACTCACATTATCCCTTAACTTGAAAAACTCTTGCATGTATTGAGCTAGATTAATCAATATGTAAAATGAGAGAATATTACACACAAAAAAAAAAAAAGGCTAAACTGTATGTGGCCAGAGAATCGAATTTCGCTATTTTTAAGCTAAAAAAAAACTTACAGATATATTAATCAGCACTAATACAAAAATAAAGCAATAATTTGTTAATACAATATTAATTTTATTATAGTATGTTATTATTGTTCATTGGTAATTGAAATTAACTAACAATAAGCAATAACTTTAATTAATAAAAAATAACACAGTAACAGTTTAAAGTTATCGAAACAATAATTAATAATGCTATGGTGGTCTAAAAAGTATTTGTGATGCTGATTTCAAATCAGATTTTAGTTTTTATGCACCAAAGATGGTTTTAATTAAATTATTTTGAAGTTTTAAAACGAAGACCTAATTTTTTAATCAGGGAAAGACATTATTATTTTAGTTAGATTCAAAGATTGCATGGATTGTAACCTTTCATAAAATTAGAGAGGGAAAGATGTTTTTACATTAAAGCCACACCAGCCAAGCCTGGCTGGTGAGTAGTACCAATTCCACTACGGGTGGGTAGTTTACTTTATTATATTGTAAAATTGACACTGTAAGTATTTTATAGAAAATATCAAAAGTTTATATTTAACTAACAATCAGGATAGGGCTGATACACATAATGAAAATGAACCTTATAACTGTAAATTACAATATTATCATATTACTATGATAAGGAGCCTAGGTTGCGACCATTGAGATATGTACGAGTCAAAGTGGACCTTGGCTAAAAGGTTTGAAAACCTCTGGCAAAGAGAATGGTATATATTCACTTAAGAAATTCTAATAACATAATTTAATTTCTTTTTCTTTCCCGATTGCACCTCTTCAAGTGATTCTTGGTTGGACTGACAAAACTTCTCTTCGATGATTGACTCCCTTCAAATGTACTATTTGTTTTCAGTATATAACAGTTATTAGTCATTTCAATCTTCTCTAGTATTACTTTTCTATATCCTAGGAGTCCTGGTGATGACGTTTTTAATGACATCATCAAGTATTAAATTTTTCTAGCTGGCCCAATATCATAAGAATGAAAATCTTAAGTTGTAAACATTTTTTTACTGTAAGTATTGATGCAAATAATTGGATGACATCTTTTTTAACATTCAAGTCAGAAATTAAATCATCAATTCAGTTTGACAGAATAATATTGGAGCAAAAATTTTCTCCTAGCTTGTAATAATCAGCATTATTGCATTCATTTTTTGAGCTGCTCTTTTTTTTTCATATTTACATACAGGGAGAGAGTCACTATGTGTAGTTGATCATAAGGCTGAAATGTTTGTATATCCACCTTACTTTGTACATTCAACTTAATGTTAACCATAAAAAAACTGTTAACATGATTTTGTGGATGCATTTTTATCTCAGTTCCTGAATACAATAACGATACATCTTTGGTGAAAACAAGTTTATGTCTTCTGTACCAAGCCTAATAGTTTAAGTATTCATAAAATATACTTTTTATAAAACTATATATGTCCTGTCTTGGATTAGCAATTGCTACCATAAATAAAACAGAAACAAATAGATTATTAAAACTTCATTTTTAAACAAACTAAAATACAAAGCTTTCCACCTTCGGTAGTGAGGAAGCAAAACTATTAATGACAGAAAAAATAAAAACTCATAGCTAACTGGGTGTAACAAATGTAAACTAATCTTACTAATCAAAATAAAATGAGTCACTTAATTTGCAAATAAACTCTATTTGATTAAAAAAAAATTACAGATCTAAAATCACTAAGAATACATAAAATTACAGAACTACAGATATTTACAATGAAAATTATGGTACATAATGTAATCATCGTAGTCTAATTTATGATTTATCTTTCGACTTGAAAAAAGCTCTCTCCATAATCTGAATTATCAATAAATAATAAATTTTGTGTAGATTAATTTACAATGCAAGATAATATTACAATATTAATTGATAAAAGTAAATATTTAAAAGAAGTGCAATCCATCACAAGCTACTGAGAATGTAAATAACTAGACTAACTAATTAGTCAGATTTCACATAGAAACATGTACAAAAATATTAAAAATATTTTTACAACAACCAATTCAACATACTACATAATGCTATACAAATAAAATGAACAACATAATGCTGTCGTATTTCTGAGATCAAATTGGTATCATTATGCTAGAGAGATAACATAAATTATAAAATTGAATCAATCTAGAAAATTAGTACAGTAGAAGAAAATTAAAGAGAATAATGGCATATCTGTAACAGAATAAAAATGTATTTTTAATTCTTATGGAGTCATTCAACTTCTACTCGTGTCATAAAACTTACATACATAATATCAGAACAAAAAACCATCTCCATTTGATAATAACTTTCCAAATATAACATAATTAATTTGTAGTTAAACTACCTATAGCAAATGTTTCTTATAAGGATCTAAAAATTCATTTTAACAACAAATTCTGATAAGTTTACACCCATGCAACTAAATCATGTTTGTTATTAAAATAAATATCTTCTAATTTACAGTAGTAAAAAATGTGAGACATATAAATAAAGCACTCTAAAATTCAAGAGACGAGAGTGAGGGTACAGAACATTTTTATGTTACTAACGAAAAAGGTTAGGTTTCATAATTGTAAACTGGGCTCTAGATACCACTACTATAATGATTATTGGCTCTGCAGAGCCAATCACTGAACAGTAATTAATTTTGAAAATAAGATAGCTTAACACCATTAAATAAAAAAAACACAGCTTTACTAACAATAAAATTATTAAAATTTATATTACCTGAGAAAGAAGATGATGCTGCATTCTTTGGTCTTGGGATTCGATAGCCCCATTTTGTATTTGACCTGGTCCAGGACCTGTCGCTGGGGGCTTACTACTAGGAGGAGCATCTGATGTTGTCCCCCATGAATTAAGCTCATCAGGTAAATCATTTTCCAGATCAAACATGTCTGTACTACTGAATATATCGGCTGCATGAAAAGAAAATACATTAAATCACACTTACTTAAAATAAAAAACTTAAAAACCAAGTATCAATTGAGAGTTAAAAGAAAAAACTATTAAATACAAATCATGATTTATATCATATATTATCATTTAAATCAGAAATGACACAATATTTAGAAATAAAATTACTTGTTATATTTGTGTAATCTGTTTAAAAATTTATGAAAATACGAAATTGAAAATAAAAATAAATAATAAAATTGAAAAAATAACGAACTCTATCAAAATCTTTTGCTATAAACATCTGAAGAGCAATTATACTCTAACATGCTATAAAAAACATGCGAACTATAGTAAACAGTACTTGAAAATACATTTGATTAAAAATTAGCAAAGAGCTTTACAAGGATATATGTGATTTCTATACAGATATATATATATATGTATGTATATATCCAAAAATAACCTACAATATAAACATAGAAAGGCAAGAACATTAAGAAATTTGTGTACACAGTAATCAATAGTGCTTGAAAACAATAATACAAGCGACCTATAACATCGATAAGCACATAATTACACAAATATAACAACAATTTCTGACATATACAACCTAATAACTACACACGAAAAATATATTTCAATCAATTGTTTCAAAAATAAGAAAAACATAACGTTTGGTTTAAATAAAAATGGATTAACCGATACCAATATGAAATTGCAATATAACGCCTCTTAACCAGGTTACTTTGTTAGAAATAGGTTAGAAGAAATTACTATAATTTTGTTATAACTAAAGGCATTTAGTAATCAAGATTTTGAAATTGCAAAGATTTATAGAGGAGATATTAAAATAATTTACTGAAGCACTAACTTTTAGTAGAAGTTTTCCTGAATATCCAAACTTTTATAAAGAAAGAAACCATTTGTCCAATTCAAATAATGCTATTAAGCATAAATATATAATATAATTCATAGAAAAGCAGAAAAGCATAGGCTGTGACAATACTTAAAGCCGCTTGAGTTAAAAAATCTTTAATTACTAGTAAACTTGAGTAATGAACAAAAACAAAACATTTTACAAAAATTTAAAAACCCTTAACATTTACTCAAGCCATGTAAAGTATAACAACAGATACTATGCATTTCGCTTCTATAATATTTGTTTTTAATTTTGCCAATTACTTCTCTTCGTAGGGTTCCACTGCTGCTGTTGTTGAGTTGTCATTCCGCCTTGCATTCCATAGTTTCCGTATGCGTGCCTCATCAAGTTCCCAGGCGCCATAACGCCTGCATCACGACAAAAACCTTAACGAGTGATCATCTCTTCATATGACAATCATATCCAAGCCCAACGATAATTCTTAGTAGGAATATTGAGCTTGTATAAAAACTAGTACTATTGACAATTTAACACGTGAAAACGAAGGACTGCTTATAGCTTTATTATTGTGTCTATCATTCATAGTTAGAATCCAATTGTTATTATTAAAATAAAGAAAAATAATTAAATTTTATGAAAATAAGCAAGTCGGGTATATTTTCCTAACACAAAATCAATATAAGAACTAAATCAAAAGTGAATATTTGTTATAAATATTTTGAAACATGCAACCTACCAATGCCCATGCAGTTAGCCATGCTTAAACATTAAAGAACTACAACAGTTTAAGAACAATACGAAATTATTTGTCGCATACTGAAGAATTACACGAAAAGTTTATTTCAAGATCAATGATCACATAATTAAACTAAATCTAATGATTTAAGAAGAAAACCCATTTAAAAGAAATAGGGAAACACTTCAAAATTAAATTGAATTCAATACATCAAAAAAAAAAAAAAAAAAAGAGCTTGATGATCATTCAAAATGTAAACATATCTTCAGGCACCAAAAGAAATGATGTGACACTTCGAAATGCTAGGTAACATAAATATAGCATTATTAATTTTAAATAAATTGAAGAAGTAATTATTATAAAAAATAAAAACTATTGTACAATTATTCAGAATCATTTATAACTTACTAACAGCGGTATATTATTAAAATAAGCAAAATTTAATTATTTCAGAAATAGACTTTTAATCAAAGAAACTAATAAATGAAAAGTTTAAAAACGATTAACTGAAGTAAGATAACTAATGACATAATAACACAAGTGTTATCGGGGGTCTAATATCTATTTACTTCATACTTCACAATTTTTGTTGTTAGAATAACATAAAAACATAATGTATAGTGTTAGCATATAGATTTATAAAAAAGTAAGACATGATAAAAGTAAAAAATTCTAAGTGACTGTAAGTAATACAACTTTGACATAAAAACAGAGTAAAACTAGCATAATTTTATAAATGAAATATTAATTTAATTTAATTAAGAAATTAAAATAAAAAATGAAATGTCAAATCACTCTTTCATTCTACCATAAACAAAGATAAACACAAAAAGGAGGCTATGAAATTGACATGTTATAAGCAGTACTGCAATTTTTATCATGGCTTTTAAACACTGTGCTATCAAAAAGTATGTGGTACTTTATTAATATTTGCTTAAAAATACTTACCCGAAGAGTCCGAGGGGCCTTGAAAAGGATCTGTTAATTTCTGCCGCTTGTTTGGCGGACCATCGACAAGATGTTCGGCCATATCTCCCCTGTTTACAATGCCGTGCCTACTATACTACACTGATCCGTATTTATAACAATTCGAAACCACTACACATGGTTTTATATGTATTTCGTCTACATAAAGTGGTTTTAAATCGAATTGTGCCACAAGTTCGATGTTTAAACATCTCTCAAGGCACATATTAATGATTCAAAATTCACCACTGGGCATAATGAAGCCCCCAAGCAAGCTGGATGAGCTTACACCACCGTCCCTCTCTCCATCTTTCTTGGAACTACACAATGATCCAGATGTAAATCATGCACTAATATCACTTTGAGACACAAATACACAGAATTTCACGTTTCTTCCTAACACAATACACCTTAAACAATTAAAACCACTACATAAATAAAAGTACATGGGGTGAAATTACGGTATTATTGAGAATAAAATCTTATTTTCTCTGACTGCCTTAAACCAATATGGCGGCTGTTGATGAAAGTTTTTCTACGCTTGTCAGAAAATATCCGACTATAAATGAGCTCTGAGACACCCTATTGGTTAAAGCAGCCCACGTGATCTCACAGACTGCTTCTATTGGCTCAACGGGATTCGGAGCCGAACCAGTGACGTCAGAGTCAAGACGAACATTGCCGAAGCGTAATTACTCTATTTCGACGCTAGTGCAGGCTGGTTGTGAGATCTTCGTTATTAGTTTAAAACTGAATTTGCTATGTTGTAATGAATTATTTCATCCTGTTTGTTGTACCATAACTTTATTGATATGTTGTATTCTTTTAACACTAAATGTAATGTTTTTACTTCCACTATTAGTAATGTAAAGCCGTTTATTTCTCGTTAGTATCTGCCTATCACGGCTCACTGATCTATTATTATTTAGTTTTAAATATCTTAAATTAAGTAGATATAACCTGTTTGATCAGAAGTTAACTTCTGATAATTGTATTGTTTACTTTAACCCACTTTCTCTAATCTGACTACACCGGTATACATTTATTTATTTTTAGTGAGTTCTTTAAAAGTTAAATGGCTGGGACCTGTGATTTGTTGACAGAGAGGTCAAGCTGGGTAGCCTTCTCAATCGGTTTGAGGGTTGCTTTTAGAGATCGATTCACCCTCAGAATCTATTACGTAACAAAAAAATAAGGAGAGGGGTGAAAGTAGCGTCTCTTTAATCAGAAGTTCTTTAATTTTTGCCAAAACCTATTGAAATCAGAAATCATCTACATAAGATGAATTAAAAATAAATATCTTGTTAAAGTAGGGAGGAAAGCCTATTTTAGGTTTTCATTGGTTTACTTATTATGTTTTAATTTGTTTAATTATTATTAAGCAAATTAATTCTGATGTTGATTTTTTTAAATGCGTAACTTTTTTACATCTGTAAACCTTAATTTACTTATTATTTTTTATAGATAAAAATCACTAATGTGAGCTACATTTTCTAATTCATTGTTCATAATTTAATCATTTAACTTATATTATTTGACTTAGTTTTTATTTGGTTTTAGAGATATTTATACTTTATGAATTAAACTTATTATGGTTACTAGCAATGAGTTTCCTGATTTTAAAATTCCCAAAATAATTTTTAATTCTACTAAATTAATCTTCCACCAATTATCTAAGATACACACATCCACGAGAAGTTGGTTGGGTTGTTCAGCCAAAAAAGTGACAATTTAAAAATTAATAAAGAATGTTTCTTTTTGTTGACATTTTGGCTCAAGGCTCAGGGTTGATTTAAAGTCAAGATAACATAGATATAAGAAATTAGTAGTCATTAGAAGTAAGAAATGCCCATATCTACAATAGTGACTTATTAATCCAATATTAAGATTCATATAATATGTGGTAGTATTAAGTTGCTAGTTCCTAATTCATTTTAACCACCTAAAATATTTTAAAATTCCTTTGAAAATGCTCCTAATTATATCGATGCCTCAGTGCAAAACTAAAACAACTTAAAAGTTCAGGTTTTGAGATAAACGAGCTCAAACATTTTGAACAAACTTAAAAAAAAATTAAATAAAATATTCCAAAGTAAAACATCATCTTTTAAACTGATGTTGAAGACATTTTGAAATGGTGCTGTTTTGTACTGTGAGCAAGATATTACAGTCTATAGATATCAGAAGAAAACTGAAAACCATCGATTTTTGAGTTGTTTCAGTTTTGAATTGATCCATCAATCTGTCATATATTTCTTTTTTTTTATGAAACTTTGTAATTCCCTGTTGTGAAAAGATTTATTTAGTTTAGGGTCAGTCATATGTCGACTGATTTGGTTTGATTAATAAACTATGAATTGATATCTCAGTCATCCTTATATTGAAGTCTAGTATTAATTTTGTGCTAATTAATCATTAAAATTATTAAGTGGTATATGCTAAATAAATGCAGATAACATTTAATTGGTTTATTGCCAAAAGTCATCAAGTAACATTTTCTAAAAATTAAATCACAAAGTAATTTAATTAATTTTTTCTTTATGAAATCAAAATATTGGTCATTTAGAGAGACCATTTTTGACATACAATACTGTTAATTTTTTTTCATAACCTATAAGTTGTAACTTAACACTTTTCATTTAAGACTTTGTGTGTCCTATGATCATTATTTTATCATGAGCTCATGACAATATCTTATAATTGGTCCATAATTTATCTTCAGCCTTAAATCTGTTGTCATTCTTTTATATACTCTTTTATATTATTATATTATATACTGCAAGTAAAGTCTTAATTTTGATATCATTTATTCTATAAATTATAAACAATTTAATATATATCGCTTTTTAGATGTACAGACTATTTATTTTATAGATAGACTGGGGAGAGGCCAACCACCCTTATGTTGATGTACACTATAATGCTTAAGCTACTCCTTGCTCTGTAAGAAGTTCCTTTGTGTTGAACTTCGTGGTGTCCTCAACAATTCATTCGATTACTGAGGTTCAAGAATAGTGACGGATCCCTCAGTTATGTGTGATTTGACTCCACAGCCCCACCAATTTGAGATCCAATTAGCATGCCAGAGATATTAGTTTCTTACTATTGCGCTACCGTTGGATACTGGTACTAGTACTGATATCGGTGGGGGGTACCAGGCCAGAAAGTGGATTCTATTGTGGTCCTTTTTGCCAATACCTGATGGCTAACTTGAGGTTGCTGCGCCGTACTTACCAGTGGGGGAATGTCATGATTCCCCATTTTGCTGGGGAAAAGTAATCCACCCAGATTGGAATCGAACCGAGCACTCTGTGACCCACACCCTAATGTGCTCACATCAGATCAAAACAGGAGTCCTTTTAGTGTGGGAATCAAGTTCTGTTAGATTCTTCATAGATTATTGTGTATTTCTATGAAGATGTCTGATCAATAAGGCATTGATTTTAAACTTCAAATATTGATTTCTCTTATATCAAATTTAAAGAATAAATTATGAGCTGTAATAGAAAAAGTACATTCTGAATGCCATTATAACATTGAAGACTAAATTAGTTTTACTGGTATAATGCATTGATTTTAAACTTCAAATATTGATTTCTCTTATATCAAATTTAAAGAATAAATTATGAGCTGTAATAGAAAAAGTACATTCTAAATTCCATTATAACATTGAAGACTAAATTAGTTTTACGCCCACCATTAAACAAAGTCTAACCAACTAATTAAAGACAAATGTATTTACTCCAATTTTCTTTACATGCCTATTTAGATGTACATCTTGTAACTTTCATAAGCATTCATAACACTGAAAAATACTGCTGGAAGAATGGGACTGATTGTCAACTTCAATAAAACAAAATATATGTACGCAAACCCTCAACCGATGAACATTGAGAACCATATCCAAGTTGATGGGCAAAGTGTGGAGAGAGTTGAGGAATTTGTGTACCAAGGGTCCCTGGTCAACCAACAAAATGATATATGAGCAGAAGTGGAGAAGCAGTTTATGGCGGCTAATCGCTGTTATTTTTCTCTGCAAAAGCATATGAGTGGTGGTCTCTCCGAATCCACAAAAGTCAGGCTGTATAAGAGTCTCATCCGACCGGTTCTCACATATGCTTCAGAAAACTGGACCCTTACCCAAGCACATGAATTCTCTCTCCTGAGATTCGAAAGAAGACTCCTACGGAGGATATACGGTCCAGTTATAGTTGGTTGAGAGTGGAAACGCCGCTCTAACAATGAACTGAGGGAATTGGATGTACTACAGTTTATAAAGCTAATGAGACTTAGTTGGGCCAGACATGTGATTAGAATGAAGCAAGACAAAATCCTAAGGGAGCGAATCTTTGGTGTGAGAAGAGCAGGCTGGCCATAACTTCAGTGGGAGGACTGCGTGGCTTTAGATGCCCGTACCATATTGGATATCCGCAGTTGGAAGGTAGCAGCACTTGATAGAAATCACTGGCAGTCGACACTGGAGCAGACTAAGACTCAATTTCGAGGGTCGTTGTGCCGGATAAGTAAAGTATCTTGTAACTAACCTCCAATGTTTTTATTAAAATATTTCCTTTCCATAGTATCTAAGTTTCTTCTTTCTTTAATGGTGCGACAGACGCATGAAGCGTTCCTTGTCCTGCTCTATCATTTTCTCCAGACAACCCTATCTGCAGCATGCACTATGCTCAGCTCTTCTGGAACGGTTGTTTATTGTATTTAAATATATGGTACACGATGTAAACAATTTTTTAAGGTTATAACTTCATAAACCTTGGAGTCTTTGGTTGAATACTTGCTAATGAAGGATGTTTTCTTGGCCATTGGCAATAAAAATTAATGACACTTCACTGCTAAGCTTTTCTCTCATTATATTAAATGGTTAGATATCATCTGTAAAAGTCCAGGTATACTCCTCTTGATCCGAGAAGAAGTGCATAAAAATGAAAAAAAACACTTTTATTTGTCAAATGTAATTACAAGTGCACACTTTTCTGATTTCATCAAGAAAAAGTTCTTAATTATTTAAGGTTATGAAATTTCTCATAATCAGTTTTTTGCAATAAACCGATGATATATATATATGGAAACATAATATATATATATATATATATATATATATATATATATAATATATATATATATATATATATATATATATATATAAAATAAATTAATAACTATTAGGAAATATATATATATATATATATATATAATAAATAATAATTGCCTTAGTTTTAGTTTTTAAAAATCCATACCTTCACAATGAAGGTTCAATACAAACATTTTATGTCTTACTGTACCATTGGACAAATTTAATAGTGCTCTTGTAATTATTTATATTCTTCTGGAACAGGATGGGCGAGCATTCTGGCGTTTTCTAGATCTTGGCAGAGCTCCGGAACTTTCTTCACTGGTAGTTTTTGTAGTTACCAGTTAATGGGATAAAATGGATGAGTAGTTAATGAAGCGTTGCAGTTCATTTATATGATTTAAATATTTTTTCTAGATTTATTTATGTTTCCATTATAAGTTTTAATTTAATAGATGATTTTATTAAAATTACTAAG